GGAATCTGTTCGATATGCTCGAGCTGGGAGATCCATGACGTTCAGCATGAAGCGCAGAGACGTTCATGACCGGCAAATAAAAGAAATCACAATCAGGCAAAGCTGTTCAATATGCTCGAGCTGTTCGATATGCTCGAGCTGAGAAATCACAAGCAGCAGTTCTAGTTATCATCGAGGTGGCTTCGAAAGTTTTGAAAGCAAAAAGCTCATCTTAGTTGGCTTAAAGATGGTGACACTAATTCTCATTTCTTTCACTCCTATGTGAAAATTAGAAATAGAAAACAATAGATTACTTCTATTCAGACCTGTGCAGGGAACATGGTTAATACTTTACCTGAAATGGGGGCAGCAGCAGTTCAGTATTTCTCTAATCTCTATACTCAGGAACAAGTGGGATATCCTGATGAGATCCTGCATTTTATACCCAAATTAATTGAGGAAGAAGATAATCAGGTTTTACTTAATCTTCCTAATGCTGATGAAATTAAGGCTGTTGTCTGGTCCCTAAACCAAAATGGTGCTGCAGGGCCTGATGGGTATAATGGATTTTTTTTTTAAAAAAGTGTTGGCAGATTATGTGTGATGATGTTATTAGTGCAGTTCAAGACTTCTTTCTTGGGGTTCCTGTTCCTAAAGGGTTGTCTAGCACTCTTATTGCCCTTATTCCCAAAAAGGACAATCATATATCTTTTGTAAACTTCAGACCTAGGTGCCTCTCAAATTTTATTAATAAGGTTTGCACAAAGGTCCTCACTAATAGGATGTCAATTCTTATGCCTAAGCTGATCTCAAGTGAACAAATTGGTTTTATGAAGGGGCTAGACATGGCAGATCACATTTTAATAGCTAAAGAGATGGTACATGCTATTGATAAGAAAGTAAGGGGTTCCAATGTGATCATAAAACTTGATATGGCTAAAGCCTCTGATAGGCTTTCTTAGAGTTTTCTTACCAAAGTTCTACAACAGTTTGGTTTTAGTAATCAGGTTGTTAGGATTATTCTTAATAATCTGCAAGTCACCTACCTTTCTGTTCTAGTGAATGGCACTATTCATGGTTTTTTCAAGCCTACAAGGGGTGTTAAACAAGGAGACCCTTTATCCCCTTTTTTGTTTATTCTGGCTTCTGAGGCTTTTTCTAGGGGCCTCAATTGGTATGTTTCTAATGGTTTAATTAAGCCCTGTTGGTTGGGAAGACATGGGAAGCCTGTTTCTCACTTAGGTTATGCTGATGACCTATTGATTTTCCTTAATGGAGACTCCAGATCTTTACTAAATTTCCACAGATTCATTACCTTATATCAAGATGCTTCTGGCCACTACTTTGATTGACTCTACAGATTCACATTTCACCTGGAAAGTAACAAGTGATGGTCAGTTCACCATAAAATCTGCCTATGATGTTATTAGACACTCTCTGGGATCCTCACTATTCTTCGAGCAGATGTGGCATCCACAACAACAAGCAAAAATCAGCCTGTTTCAATGGAGATTGCTCAAACGTATTTTGCCTATTAGTGACACTATGGGTCGTTTTAATAAGGTTATCCAGCCCTCAATCTGTCCTCTCTGTAGGAGCAATGTGGATTCCACTATTCATGTCTTTTTGGAATGTAGCTTCTCTAAAAACATTTGGTCCTACTTTGTTCAGATTATGTCTATTCCTATGCATGTTCACTATTACTCTATTCGTACCATTTTTCTTATATGGTGGTTAGAGGCTGGAAGTAAAAACCTTATTGATATATTCAAGCATAATCTCCTTGGGATCATATGCTGGAATATTTGGAAGATTTATACCGATCTAGTTTGGGGATCAGGCTCTAGGGTCCCTACTCATGCTCACAGGATATGGCAGATTAAGGTCTACACTCAAAACTGGGTTTTAAATTTGTCTACTGAGAAGATTGGCAAGATTAATAGAATCTTATTTGAAGAATAACTTATTCCTCTTGGTTTTAAGCATAATCAGAAACTTTTCAAACTTGTTCGTTGGTTGAAGCCGAACCAAGGAATGAAGTTGAATATTGATGCGGCGTTTATTCCTGGCTCTGCTTTGGGTGGCGCAATATTGAGGAATCAAGATGGTGACTTGATTCCAGCTTGTGCATTTCCGATCTTGGTTGCCTCGTCCTTGGAAGCAGAACTGACTGCTTTCAGGTGGAGATAGATGTTGAAGCTGCGGTTAATATTCTCTGAGGTATAAACAACGTTAATGTTCTCGCAGACAACCTTGTTGATTTCAGGCGAGTGTGTTTTAGGAAACGGGTTACCTTCCGACACATTTTCAGGGAAGGGAACATGCCATCCCACTTTCTTGTTGCTCATTATCCGGCCCATTTCACTGTGTGGACTTCTTCTGCTTTGCTGCCCGGTCCGATTAGAACTGAATTTAATTTTGATCTCTTTGATATTCCTTGTATTAGATGGCTATTATGATGTCCTGTGTGTTTATTTCCCGGGAATGTTTGGTTTGGTCCTCCTCTCATTTGTAATGTTATTCTCTCTTTTTTAATAAAATCTGGTAAATGTTTCTCGGCATTTACCCCACTGATTTTGGTGGTTTACCCCCCGGGTTATAAAAAAAGAATTGGAAGTTATAAAAAAAGGATGATACTCACCCCTGAGGCTCCCCAGAACCGATCATGCAGTTATTTAGGAAAATGTAAATTAAAATTTAATTCACTCTAATAAAAAAGAGTGAGGTGTCATCCTAGTGATTGCTTGAAATCGAATCTGAGATATCTTTTTTGTGACACTCTGTTCCTACCGGGTGAGCTATGTGCCTCTTAATGAATTGAAAGTTATGATTCTACCTAATGGAGCGATGTTTGTTAATTTATTATTTTATTGCACAACATTCATATATTTTGCCAATGAGAAGAAAAAAATGAATTGAAAGTTATTGTTCTACCTAATCGAGTGATGTCTGTTAATTTATTGCACAACATTCATAATTATTTTTACATGATACAATAGAATAATAATTACAATATTTTATATAGAAATGAGCAGATATAAAAGCTGCAATTCAGTTTCGTTTTAAAAAAATGCTGAATTAGAAGTGAGGAAATCGCAAGTCGAAACGAGAAAGAGTGCTCCTAACTCTAGTTCTCCTTATCATAATATCATTAGAGATTACGTAATATAGTAATAAATTAATAATAAGTGATACAGAGTATTCACCAAACAACTTTTCAAACTATGTTTAATTTTTATTATCAAAGTTTTGACCAAAAAACAAAAAAACTCCAAACCTACTCGGTGACTCATTTTTTAGGGGTAATTTGAACTTGCACCCATTTTATTGTCTAAATTAGACGTTGCACTCACTTTTTAAAAATCTTTGTTTTTGCACCTCAATCCTATATGAGAAGACAAAAATGCCTTCGATCAAGAATATGTTGAAGGCCAACAAAATTATTAATGGAGGAGCATTTTTGTCTTTTCAAATGCGTTGGGGTGCAAAAACAAATGATGTGCAAACTCAAATTATCCCTTATTTTCATGCGTTGAATGTGTAATAATCAAAATAATTAAAATTGAAATCATTTTTCTCAACGTATTGATTGAAATTATTGCAAACTCACAATTTTAACTATTTTTCATATAGTTTTTCATCATTTTATTAATAAATATTATTCTCTCTGTCTCGCTAATATTGTTCCACTAAAATCGTCTCATACCATATTTGATAAGGTTTGTGTGGCTCTAAATCATTCTTATTTTATTCTTACTTTACCAATTGATATCAACCACATAAACTCACTTTTCTTAATGATCGTATTACTCCCTTCCGTCCAAATATTAGTACGACAGGTGTAGTAGTATAGTTTAAATGTAATTTTTTCATTATCCATCATAATCATCAAATCCAATCAACTTCATTAATTTCATAAACTTCATTTTAATAAAATTATCCGCTTCAACCAATTTCATTGCTATCAAACGGACATTCAAAAGACATGTGAGAAATAAGAATAGTTAAAACTGTGTAGTTAAGATTTGTGCAAATGAGAGAGAAATGTACAGAAACACAAATTAATTACTTTAATAAGAAAGTGACAAAGCTTTTTGAGACAAAAAATGGAAAGTTGACAAAATCCAACGGAACGAAGGGGAAACTTAAAATAGAAATTGCCCAATATAGGAGTAAACATAAACATAATTGCACAAATAGGAGTAAAACTTAAAACTTCCTTCGATAAGAGTAAACATTAATTTTGTACCCTTAATATCCCTAACCTAGTTAATTCTAAAATATGACTTATTTAATCTTAACCTAGTTAATTTATGACTTATTCAACAATAATAATTTATTTATTTATTTATTTTTCAAAAAATAAAAAAAAATATATAAAAAATTAAAAAATAAAAAACTCAAAAAAATAAAATAAAATCCACCGCCTCCTTTGCCGCCTCTGCACCACCACTTCCAGTCACCAGGGGAAAAAATGCCAAGTTCATTCCGAATGCCATATTTATGGCAGAAAATAATGAAAATGTTGGCATTCGCAAAGAGAAATATGTCATGTTTTTGGCATTTTCAGAAAAATGGCAGTTTTTAGGAAAAATGGATTTTCCTGCAGGTGGTGGGAAAGACATCCATATTTTTTTTAATTTTTTTTATGGAGTTTTACTATTTTTTATTAATTTTTTAAAAAACTAAAAAATTAAAAAAAAAATATTTTTTATTAAAATTTTTTATTTTATTTTTGATTTTTTTTCGAATTTATTATGAATTAAACATTTAATTAAAAGTTGTTGGGGCTTAGGGCTTGGGTAGAGGTATACTTGTCCAAACACTAAAGTTACTCCTATTCAAAATATGATCCTCCTATTTTTGCATTTTGCCTAGGTTTTGCTCCTATTGGAGGAATTCTCTCAACTTAAAACTATTCATCTTGGAAAACTTGTTACTCTAACAGGTAATTGAAACATATACTCCGTACTTAAATTATAATCATCCATCCTTGTGATTAATTAATTCTCAAGATGAATAGTTTAAAGTTTGCAATGAACAATTTGACAGTTTATTATCACAGAAAACATTCTAATTTAAAAAAATCTCAATCATTTACGTGATTTTCATGCTAATGAATTAATGATGACCAGAGACCTGTCTTTCTGGTTGATAGACAAACAGTTTAAGCTCTTGCCTAACTTTATCTCTACAAACATCGAGTCCAGATGCATCCGCCACGTGCGGATATTTAACCTCCAGGACTACCAGCTTTTCCGTTAGCCGGTAAATCTCGACGAGCACTATGATATTACCATCAGGCCCCTCCACCCTTACACCGACATCCTTAACAGTCACACTCATCCCTTCTGGGCTAGCTATCTTCTCAATCCCGGCGACGATTTTTTCCGGCGGATCGGCCGATAGGAGCCGCTCGGTGTCGCTTAAGACGATGTGAGTGTCGAACAAGGTAGACAAATTGAAACCGGGGGAAAACGATATGAGGTCGAATGCGTTAAGGTAATTGTTCTCTCCCTCTAAATCTCCGCCGTCGCAGCCGGCGGATCTTCTGAAATCGAATTTGAAATCGATTCGGGGCCTGACCTCTTCGAATCCAGTCCGGAACCATGGATCGGATTTGATATCGTCCACGGTGATTCGAGTCTCCGGATTCGTATCGAGTAGACGATTAAGGAGGTGTTTCAGACCCGGCGAGGTCCATTTCGGACACCGGAACTCGCCTTTGTAAATTTTCCGGTACATGGCCATCAAATTCGTGTCGTTGAAAGGCAAATAGCCGGCGTTGAGCACGAAAAGGATGACGCCGCACGACCAGATGTCCACCTTAGCGCCGTAGTATCCGTTCTTCTCCAGAATCTCCGGAGCGACGTAGGCCGGAGTGCCGCAGAGCGTATGGAGTCTGCCGTCGGGCCGGATCTGATCCGTCACAGCGCTCAGTCCGAAATCGGTGATTTTGAGGTCCCAATTCTCGTCCAGTAGCAGATTCTCCGGCTTCAGGTCGCGGTGGTAAATCCCGCTTGAGTGACAATAACCGACGGCGGAGATGAGCTGCTGAAAGTACTTCCGGCTGAGATCCTCGCTGAATCGGGCCTTGGCGACCCTGGCGAAGAGCTCCCCGCCTTTGGCGAACTCCATGACGAAATAGATCTTCTTCTTCGTAGCGAGGACTTCGGAGAGGCGCACGATATGCGGGTGGCGCAGGCGGCGCATAATAGAAATCTCCCGCTTAACGTGGTCCGCATGGCCGCCTTTGAGAATCTTCTGTCTGCTCACCGCTTTAATCGCAACGCTGTGCCCTGTTTTGATTACACGGGCGTGATAAACCTTCGCAAAAGCCCCGCAACCTAGCAGCTTCCCCAGCTCGTATTTCCCGAAAATTCTGCAATTGGAATCCGCCGCCGGGATATCACCGGACGCCGCTAAGGACGTCAACGAACATCCCTCGCCATTCATTACGCTTCCAGCTGAATCAACACGAAGCCACTAAAAAGCTCAGCTTCGAGGAAGATTATAAAATAATTTTAATAATGGATACGCTCAGTTGACTGCAAGTTCTGATATGCGAAATGGTGTATGATAAGCAAGGTGGAGAACATCCCGATTTATATACGTCATGTTTTTAGTTATACTAATTTCAGTTCTAAAATGGGATGAGATCAAATTTAAATAGTACGGTACTACCATATTAAATATAAATTGACCATACTATACCAAATCAAATCAAGTGCGTCATTTATAAAGAAACAATAATAAATGATGTATTTTTTAATTTTAATATAAAAACTTGGGTACAAATAAAGTATGGACGCGTAATTATTGTTGAAATCTATTTGGAGAGTGGACTTCTACGCTATGAGTCCCACACCTCTACCCGACAGAATTTTTAAGAGAATGTAAGTCACGGTGATTCAGTTGATCCAGTGATGATAAACCTTATACTCGTGCGCATCAGAGATCCAGCCCAGCATGCAGGAGTTTTAACCTCCACACGGCCGCTGAGAGTTTCGAAGTTTGGCCATTGTTGCAAATTTCTCACCACTGAACAAAGTGAGTTACCCGTGCGGATTTTATTGTTGAAATCTAATTTATACTCGATATTATAGGTAGTATGTCCGTGAGTATGCTGCGTACATTTCATATAGTTATTGCTGATATCTAATTTATTATATACGGAGTATGTGACAAATATTTGAATCATTTCCCAGTATAATTCTTATTTTATGTGTGTGACAATGGTGCATACATTTCAACGGAAAGTGATTGTTGATGTAGGCTACAATAAAGTGAAAAGTATCGTTGCGTATTAGTGAATAAACTATACGGAGTAAATTGGTATACAAACAACATAATTGACATCGACATTAAAAAATACTCATAGGAGAGCTGGAGATGACTTATTTGGTAATTAATAAGTCATAACATTGCATTTGACTTTAAAGAGTTTATCCTCATAATTAACATTGCATTTTTTCATTCGAATTTTACAGATACAATTGAAAAGTTTAAGTTTGACAGCATCAAATATTCCTTGCAACCAGATGGATTGTCGCGAGCAACATAATTCATCCTAGAAGATCTGGAGTATAAACTCACATCATAACCATCTTTTAGAAGTAATTAATTAATAACAATTTGCATTTAAATGAGTTACTGAATCTTGCATTTGTTGTATCCATATTTTATATCTATAGTAAAAAGCAGTTGTCATCACTATGGGGTGAGTATGCACAGGTTTGAGGAATATTCCCAGTACTTCGACCGAACCACACATCATGCTGCTTCAGTTGTGTAGAGCAAAGACTAAGTATGGTAAAACATTTATTGATTCATGTACTATACTTATTTATGCATTCTCTATATTTGATAGAGATAACACATTTAATATTATAGGTGAGGTCATTCTTGCGAACTCCTTTTACCGTACAAAGATAATAGTGGATGAGAGTATCCCTGAAATTGAGGACTTCCATACTAACTAAGATGCTTCTTCCCACAAATTGATTTAATATAGATTTGTAGCGCTAAATGCATTCATAAAGTAACTTTTAAATTAATATTTTATTCATACTAGATTATTGACAAAAATATGCCAATATTTAGAATTTAGAATATAAAAAATGAAAATGAGAAGTAGAAATCATTATCATTATTAGTTACTTCTTGATATCTAACTATTTTCCTTTAAGGTTGGTAGCCAGCTCCCGGTCTTCGTCATCCGCGAACTCCTCCGGTTTTTTATAGATCCTGCATTAGTTAAGTCAGTGGCTGAACACCTGAACTGCTTGCAATTTCTAAGGTTAGTCTATTTGAATTTTAATTTGACTCATTTTGTTGGATTACTCTCTACTTCGTTTTAAACATATCTTTATTGTCAAAATAATGTAGATGTCTCAGTGTTGGTTTTTTGGGAAAATCACAAATATTCTCAATCGAAGGGCTTGGTCCTATCAAGGGTGTATAACAGAGTCTTGCTCTAAAAAGGCCTCTAAAGACGGCAACAAGTTTAAGTGCACTAAATGCAATAAAGTGTTTGACCAGGGAATACATCGATATAAGATTAATGTTATCGTGAAGGATTCTTCAGGATCGGTTACGTTGTGTCTGTGGGATCACGAGTGTCGTCAGTTGTTGCACAAAACTGCAGGACAACTCAGAGAACAATTGAATCTGGTATGATAAAGAGTAATAATTGTTTTAACTAATTCTCTAAAGGTATGTTAAATAAAAAACATAGTCAATGATTTGAATCTTTGATCTTTCAGAGTGGCATTCATGAGACAACGACGTCAAAAGAAATTGATGATTTAGTGGATCTACATCTTTTGTTTAGGGTTGATATAAGTGAGGAAGATTTAAAAAAAAATTGACAAAGTTTTCTCCGTGAGGTGTCTCACACAAAATGATGAGCTTATGAATCATTTTTTGGCAACAGCAAATGATGAACAACCAATGGTATGTGAATGAATCAACTTTATTTTAATTTATTGTTGTCCTGGCCTTTCCATTTTTAATGCCTAACAGTTGATTGAAATCTTATTCTCTAGGATTTGGAATGTGATGATGATTTGGAATTTTTTTTCAGTCAGCCAGGAGTAACATCATCAAACGTAAGTAATGCTTAAAAATTTAATAATCATGTCCTCCCGAATATGAATATTGTATATTTTTCATTTCAACATTCGTAAGCATATCATTATCTTGCCATATAAAATTGATGCTTAATGCTTTAAGATTACTTGAAAACTTGGCCAACCCAACCAAATATATATATTTCGAACATTTCAAGATTATTTGGAACATTTCAGTAAGCCTAAGTGGAATATTTGGAACAACAGTTAAAGAGTATATTAGACTTAATGCTTTAAGGTTACTTCCTTAATATGTGTATTGTATATATTTCATTTCAATATTTGTAAACATATCATTATCTTGCCATATAAAATTGATATGTACGTAGTAACATCTAACATTTAAATTCACATTCTGTATTAGTACTCACCCTATTTAGATGTTTTAAACTTAAAGAGAGAACAATATTTAATGTTATCATTGAACTTCAGAATATTGATGATGCCACGACTACTACCCCAATGTCTAAGCGACCTTTGTCAGAATATATGGACATGATGGAGGATCTTCTACTAAAAACTCCACTAGCAAACTGCAGAAAACTATCAAGGTTGAAAAACCATAAGGTTTTGGAGATGGTGTTTGAGGTGGCCAAAAAATGAAGAATTATCTTTACTCTTTAATTTCATGTCATTTTTTAGTGGACGAATATTTACTACATACATGTTAGTTTTTCAACGGATGATTTTCTTGATTAACCTTGGTTTAAATTAGTTAATGTTGAGACAATCTTGCTTACGCTTATCTTCATCAATTCTTCCCTGCCAAAAAAGTTGGGATTTTTTTTATGTCTCTGAGCACAAATAAGGCATAAAAACACATACATGTTAGTCATAATGTTCAAGAATGCTAGAACAAAGGTATAAGTGATCTTACATGAAAATCCACGTGTATCAGTGATTGTATATGTGATCTTTTCATTCTGGAATGACCAAAATGGTTTATAAAATCATTTGAGTATGTCTCATTGTGTTCAGGTCTTGATATATGGTATAAAATGTAATTCTTTTATTTAAATTCATGTGTATCAGTGATTGATCTGAAGTTATTACATGTTAATCATGATTGTTCCAGAATGCTATAATAAAGGTATTTTGTGATCTTTTCATGATTATTCAGTTTGATCTGTAGTTATTACATATATTAATCATAATGAACCAGAATGATAGAATAAAGTTAACTGTGAACTTTAGATGTAAATCCATGTGTCCCAGTAATTGTATTTGTGATCTTTTCATTCTGGAATGACCAACATTGAAACCTACTACAATATATGCATATTTTTTAAAAAATATGCATATATAATTTCAACCAGGAAGTCCCTCAAACGGCTTTGGCTGGACTGCAGGTTCTGAAAGGCCGACCTGACAGAAAACACCACTCTTATTTACTTTCAAGATACTCCTCGGTCCCTCTGTCCTAGCTTAAGTTTGTCACTTAAGCTATTGGACGTCCCAACTGAAACTCCACATTTTTATTTTATGAAATAAGCATCCTCAAATGAGAACTTAATCATCAAATACTAAAAATAATATGTTTATATAATCAAAGTCATAATGACCTCATTGTATTAAGATGTTGATTAATATTACGGATTATTATAACTATAAAAAGTACCTTTAGGGAAGCAATACATTTTATACTTTTATGAAAGTATTTTTAATAAGGAACATTTTAATATCATTTTTGCATTATAAATACACAAAGATAAATATATATAGCTGGTCAAAGTTCAACATAGTTGACCAAAAAATTCAAAAATATGAAAATTTTTAAGGGACGGGGGGGGGGGGGGGGGGGGTATAACATTTATTTACATATTTCAATACAGTTAGAAGATCAAATGACATATCCCTTCATATTTTATTTATCGAGGAATATTTCTATTAGGCCGGCTTGACGGGATCCGCCATTTCTGGTAGAATTTTTTTTATCAAATGTTTTCAGTATGTTCTTCATCAAATCAAATAAATTATTGATACAATTTGCGCTCTATGTATATTTATTTAAAAATTTCAACCGGAATGATGCTCAAACGGCTTTGGCCGGACCGCTGGTTCTGTTAGGCCGACCTGACAGAAAACAACACTTTTATTTACTTGCAGGATATTCCCTCGATCCCTCTGTCCTAGCTTAAGTTTGTCACTTAAGCTATTTGACGTCCCAATTGAAGCTCCGCATTTTTATTTTACGAAATAAGCATTCTCTCAGATGAAAACTTAATCATCAAATACTAAAAATATTATATTTATATAATCAAAGTCATAATGACCTCATTGTATTAAGATGTTGATTAATATTACGGATTATTATAACTTTAAAAAGTACCTTTAGGGAAGGAATATATTTTATACTTTTATGAAATTACTTTTATACAGGAACATTTTAATATCATTTTGGTATTCTATTTTTTTTAAATATATATAGTTGGTCAAAGTTCAACATGGTTGACCAAAAAATTCAAAAATATGAAAAGTT